CATTTTTAATTGGATTAATTGCGAACGGACTCCCTGTAGTATCACCCAATTACAAATAGACCAACTATAGTTTTATTTCTTGTGAATAGACCTGCAGTAGTATTGGCCCAAGTGAGAATACATCCATCTACTAAACTTTCTCGATTCTTTTAAAAGTAAAAAATAGCAATTAGGGATCAATCCTCACTAATAGAACTATGTGTGCTTTATCCCCCTCCTCAGAGCTATTTGCAACAAATAGAGCTAAAGGAGATCTATTCGCAATTGGATGATGCTACTGTTGATAGCGACGCGTGAATGGCTAAGGAGCTGAAAAAGGAAAACGTGTGAGTTGATGAGGCGGTTTTCAAAGCACACGGTTTCAAGAGTGGGGGCCACAAGTCCTTTTGTGGGAGAAGTCCAGCAGGCTATGAGTTCTTTTGTTTGAGGATTTGTTCAGCGGAAATTTCGTTGGCCCACCCGAATTTGAGTTGCAGGCTATAAAATCATTGTCTAGGGTTCCGTGAAAGGGCGTGCAAGGAGTTTGGACTTGTGCGGCGTGTTTTTGGCAGAGGAGAAAATTGAGGTGCAAGTTCCAAGGCTGGAGTTTTGTGGGCGGCTACGGACCAAGGCAGAGGTATAATTCAAGGGCGGCTACAGTGCAGAGAGAGGGAGAAAGTCGACTGAGAAAGAGAGGTATTTGTCTTGGGTTTTGTGAAGAGAGAAAAAGTATTTGGAGGCTGACCTTTTCTTGTGAAGAAAAGCAAGGAGCCTATTTGAGGGTTTAGATTGTGAGAGTTGTAAACCTATTTGTATTCTTTTTCTCTCTAATAGTAGATCCCCCTCCTTGCCCCGTGGACGTAGGCAGTTTGCCGAACCACGTAAAAATTGATTGTTTGAGTTTGTGGCCATTGTAATAGTTTTAATTTGTATTCTTTTTCTCTCTAATAGTAGATCCCCCTCCTTGCCCCGTGGACGTAGGCAGTTTGCCGAACCACGTAAAATTGATTGTTTGAGTTTGTGGCCATTGTAATAGTTTTAGGATCCCTCGACAGGTCAGTCCTAGAACTGATGAGAGGAAGAGCCGATATCTCACTTGGTTGAGATATCCGCTTCAGATTCTTGTCTCCTTGGTGAGACGGGAATTCTTATTGATCTTTCTCTCTTATTGTGCACCAGAAACTCTGCCGAAATTTCCGCTGCGCACAACAAGTGGTATCAGAGCCCAGATTCCAGATCTAGGGTTTGGTTGGAGGAGTAGATCAATTTGGAGGCTCGTTTAGGGCTTCGTTGGTGATAAAGGTGGGATCTTTTGGTAAAGACTCTATCTTTCAGTTTTGGATCTATTCTTTGTTCGTTGGTGCGTAAGATGTCGGGGAAAGAAGGTGCTTCGGGAGTCGAGGGTGGTTCTTCTGGCGCGAAGACCATTCAGAGTTTGAATATCCACTCTATGAAGATAGATGTGGAGAAATTTAATGGCACAAACAACTTTGGATTATGGAGATGCGAGGTTTTAGATGCGCTGAACGCGCAGAATTTGGAGGATACATTGGAGTTAGATGGCAAGCCAGATGAGATTGAAGAGAAGGTTTGGAAGAAGATGAATCGAACGGCGTGTGGTGTGATTAGGTCTTGTTTGACTCAAGATCTAAAATATGATGTGATGAATGAGACTTCTGCGAAGAAGATTTGGGAGATTCTCGAAAGCAAGTATTTGACCAAGAGTGTGGAAAATCGCTTGCATTTGAAGAGGAGACTTTATCGTTTCCAGTTGAAGAAGGGAACCTCCATTAGAGATCACATGAACCACTACACAAAGCTTCTTGCGGATTTGGCGAATGTGGATGTCAAGATTGAAGATGAGGACAAGGCGTTGCTGTTGTTGAGTTCCTTGCCCGACGAGGAATATGAGACCTTCGTTCTTACTCTGATTAATGGGAAGGCATCACTTTCGTATAGTGAAGTCACCGCTGCACTTGTGAATTATCAGCTTCGAAAGAAGGATAAGGAGGCTTCGGTTGAGCCGGTAGCGGAGGCGTTGGTCGCAAGAGGGAAGGGTCCAAACCGAAAGAATTGGAAGTCACAGTCTAGAGTAGGGCATCCTACAATTGGAAAAGATCAGTGTGCTTGGTGCAAGGAGACTGGTCATTGGAAGAAAGACTGCCCAAAGCTCGACGAATGGATGAAGAATAAGCAGAAGGGAAAAGGGAAGCAACCATCATCAGAAGCAAACATCGTATCGGATGGTAATAATTCTGACTCTTCTATTTATTCGCTTTCTATCAGTCCTACAGATAGCTATTCGGAGGAATCTGAATGGATGTTGGATAGTGGTGCGACCTATCATGTGTGCCCTAGAAGGGAATGGTTCTCCAGTTTTGAGAAGCTGGTGGATAGTGGTGTGGTGTACATGGCTGATAACCGTGCATGCCAGATCCTTGGGATAGGAAGAATTCGCATAAAGATGTTTGACGGGACTGTTAGAGAGTTAAACGATGTGAGATATGTTCCTTCTTTGAGGAAGAACTTGATCTCGATTGGAGCTTTGGTTGGAGAGGGTCTGAAGGTTCGTGTTGAGGACATGGTTCTCGAGATTGCGAGAGACTCTCGTATTTTGATGAAGGGCGTCAGGAGAAATAACCTGTATTACTTGACTGGAGGTATAGTGGCAGGTGGAGAGCTGACGACTTCTGTTGATTCGACTAGACTGCGGCATTTGGGGCTTGGCCATTCCAGTATTGATTCCTCGCATAGATTGAAAGAGGGTGCAAAGACCTGCAGTTTGAAGTCCAGTGAACATGTTGATGTGAGCAAGAAGACCGAGGTGAAGTGTGGCACCTCTATTCACCGTGCTAAGGGTCGTTCTGGAGGAGTTCACGTGGATGTTTGGGGGCCTTCCAAGGGGACATCATTGGGAGGTAATAGGCGTTTGGTTTCCTTTGTTGGTGGCTGTTCTAGGCGTGTTTGGGTTGCAACCAAATCCCCTTTGGAGAAAGTCCTAGTAGTTTCCAACAGATTGAAGAAGTGTGTAATAGACAGAAAGGTGAAGGTACTCCATTCTGGTGGGAGGTACAAGATGGACCTATTTCTGTATTAGAGCCGAGCTCACGGTATTTCGAGACACTTCGTTGACATATATATACTCTCTTTAAAAGTATGAGTTCGGAAAAATATTTCGGTAGACAAAAATACCCTTATCTCTTTTAGATATTACATTTCAATTCAAATCTATCTTTCGGCAGATAAAAATATCCTTAACTCTTTTAGATATTACACTTCAATTCAAATCTATCCTAATTATCCTAATCATCTGTGAACTACAACTTTCAATATCCTAATTATATCATAATCCCATGTAAACTAAATATCTTAATTTTCTTAATAACCTAATTATATTCTAATTCAACTTCAAACATCCTAATTATGTCATAATCCCATGTGAACTAAATATCCTAATTTAGGTATCACAGGGGAAAATTAGGGCTTTTCTTGAACTCTTTTCTGATTAACAGTTAATTTTCTATCATTTTATGCTTGATAACAATATTTCAGAAACGATTTCTGATTTCACAGTGAGACATTTGTTTTGGTTGGTGTCGGCTCAGTTTTGAGAAAACTTCGCCGAGGTGGAGAATTGTTGATAGCGACGCGTGAATGGCTAAGGAGCTGAAAAAGGAAAACGTGTGAGTTGATGAGGCGGTTTTCAAAGCACACGGTTTCAAGAGTGGGGGCCACAAGTCCTTTTGTGGGAGAAGTCCAGCAGGCTATGAGTTCTTTTGTTTGAGGATTTGTTCAGCGGAAATTTCGTTGGCCCACCCGAATTTGAGTTGCAGGCTATAAAATCATTGTCTAGGGTTCCGTGAAAGGGCGTGCAAGGAGTTTGGACTTGTGCGGCGTGTTTTTGGCAGAGGAGAAAATTGAGGTGCAAGTTCCAAGGCTGGAGTTTTGTGGGCGGCTACGGACCAAGGCAGAGGTATAATTCAAGGGCGGCTACAGTGCAGAGAGAGGGAGAAAGTCGACTGAGAAAGAGAGGTATCTGTCTTGGGTTTTGTGAAGAGAGAAAAAGTATTTGGAGGCTGACCTTTTCTTGTGAAGAAAAGCAAGGAGCCTATTTGAGGGTTTAGATTGTGAGAGTTGTAAACCTATTTGTATTCTTTTTCTCTCTAATAGTAGATCCCCCTCCTTGCCCCGTGGACGTAGGCAGTTTGCCGAACCACGTAAAATTGATTGTTTGAGTTTGTGGCCATTGTAATAGTTTTAGGATCCCTCGACAGGTCAGTCCTAGAACTGATGAGAGGAAGAGCCGATATCTCACTTGGTTGAGATATCAGCTTCAGATTCTAGTCTCCTTGGTGAGACGAGAATTCTTATATCGATCTTTCTCTCTTATTGTGCACCAGAAAAATTTTCGCTGCGCACAACAGCTACTGGGGTCCTTTTTAATTTTATGCCTACAAATTAAGTTTATTTATGCTTGCTTGAGGTTAGTTTGACGAGCTTGAATAAAATATGTTGATTTTATGGAATTGTGATTATAATTTGCATTCCACTTGTGTATCACCCACCGGCTGTTTCATAAAATTTACTAATCATATTTTTTAGTATTTAGATCCAACCAAAACTCGGTTAGACTGAAAAATGTGAAACATAAAAATCGAACCATGTTCTTCAACATTAGAATATGAAACTATAATCCTCGAGCCTCATCATAATTTTCGAGCCTCGATGTGATCATTAGAGGGTTTAAATTAAGATGGTATTAGAGCAGCCCATGCTCGAATTTCGCTGGCTACGAATTTAATACGGATTTTAAAAGAATTATTAATACCTTGCAAGTCTAGGCTTTCAGCATATAAAAAGTACACTCAACCTATGAGAACATGATAGAATGTAAAACTATAATACCCAAGCCCTTTCATAGATTCAGAGTTTTGATATAATGGTTCACAAGAGCACGCGACTCGTAGAGTTTTGCTATAAGGTGCAGAACTTGAGATCTTCAAAGCTGCAGCTCTCGACAAGTATTCTTTTGAGAACCAGTACAGAAAGGCCACGTAGCTATTAAACCGTAATCTCGTCACACCCGCGAGTTATTCGATCTCGCCTCTTAATTCTCGAGGACAACCTAAAAGGAGCCTTCGAGCGTCTCTAATGGCGGCGTCGATCGCCTGAAGCCGGGATTATCAGAACGCTCACCTCCTCAACCCCTTCCCAATTCTGGTAACTTTCTAGAAGCTAAGGTACACCACACAACATGGCGGGAGATCCCCATAGAAGGTTAGAGAGCATCATGAGCAAGCTCTCACAATCCGCTTCGCCGAGAGCGAAGAAGCCCTCGACGCCCAGGTATAAAAACCCTGGCCCCTAAGAATTTCGCTCTTCACTTTTTCTCTCTTTCTCTTGGTGGGATTTTGAGCTGAAATTTTGCTCCTTGATGTGTTTAAGCGACGGAATTGGGAGAAAGGAGGAGGAAACGGGGCTTAGGATTCCGAGGAGTACGATGGGATCGGCTCCACAGTGCAGGCCGTGGGATCGAGGGGATCTGATTAGGAGACTGGCGACTTTCAAGGCCATGACTTGGTTTGGGAAGCCCAAGGTTAGGGTTTGATTCACTTCCTCTCGGCATCAGCTTCTGGATTAATGAGATTTTTAGGGTTTTGATGTGGATTCTGCAATTTCTTTCGTAGTTGTTTGATAAGTGAAGTTTTGGTGTCAGATGGACTGCATTTAAGCACCATAGTTATGTAGTACTTCGTTTCCTGGATTGCAAGTTTAAATTTTCTGTTGTATAGTTAAACTATTTACTCATTTTCTAGGTGAATTTTGAGTTTCAAGAGCGGTGGCAGTGATAACAAAACGTAGCTTATGGCCAATTTGGGAGGTCACTAAGGTGAGGGAAGGAAGGTTAAACTTTCCCTTCCCTTCCCTTCCCTTCCCCTCCTTTACCCCTACCCACCCCCACCCAAATATGGGGGATAAGATTTTAGTGCAAAATTTCCCTAACTTCCCCTCCTCTACCCTCCTAGTAGAACTCCCAAACAAGGTAAAATCCAAATTTCCCTTCCCCTTCCCTCTACCCTCCATCCAAACACACCATTGAGTTTCATTTGAAGAGAAGCAGTGTCACATATTAGCTAGAAATTAATTTGCAGCAATGGATTCGGATCCTCTCCACTACCAAAAAAGTAGTGGAGGGACCACTACATTATAACAATCATCGATTTTTAAGAGCATGGTTTTGATTTTTCTTTGAGTGCAAATTAGGAATGCGTACAATTGGGCTATGGTGAGTATTGGATTTAGAATGAATCGTAATCACCCACTAGATAATTAATATCTGTGATCAAAATTAGTGTTCTCTCCAATACTTTTTTTTCTAGTGGAGAGGATCCAAATTTTGCAGTCATGGGGTCAGATTGGAAGGCCAAGTGAGCAAAGTTGAGGTGTATTGCTTCATTGTGGGAGGATGAGCCTGGTTCTACCTTTTGATGTGGATGAAAGAATTTTCAAATTAATGAAAAGAATGCTAAGGTTCACAGATTACTATTGCATGCTTGTTTACAATACCTAGGATTCACGATGCATGAAGGCTACTAGCGATTTGTGTGGACGAGGATCGCAATAATTATCTTTGAATGAGAGTCTTCTTTCCCATCATGAGAGTTAATTTCCCCTACCGAACTCCTTTGATTAGTCTTGCCCTTCCTTTGTAGCCTTCCTCCATGAAGCTGCAACCCTTGTCATTTAGGAACAACGAAAGAAAAATGTAGAAGAGAGAGAGAGAGAGAGAGAGAGAGAGAGAGTGCAAGATACTATTAGGAAATCACTAACATAAAGGAACATAATCATTAAGAACTGAATTCATCCATTATTTTGTTTTGGTTCTTCATAAGAAACCATAATTTGGGAACAATGTTTGATCTGTTTAAATATATAGTCACAACAAGTTTGTACTTGTACACCTACAATATTTTTTTTATCTTGTCATAGTTTATCTGTTTGAGATGATGATTATGAAGTCCTATCTAGGAGTTTTATGTACTGTTTAAGAATGAAAGATTGTCCACACTTACATATCTACTATTCATAATTCTAGGGCCTAACACCTCTGGTCGAGATTCGTAGTACCTTTTCTTGAACCATCCAAACATAAGAAAACTATTTGCAGTATATGAGTTCAAAGTATTGTGGCGATTTATTTATGTTTTTGACGGAGATTTTTCTCACTTAACTGAAATTAGAAGAAACTAGAGTCACTGCTTGTACATTTAGTAGTGATGCACTTATAAGTTATCCACATTGATATGGTTTTATTTCCTTTTTCAGAAAAATCTTTGTGCTATGCCTCCTCTTATGTCTATGGGATCATATTTTATTTTGTTGTATTCTTCTCAGGCTATCAGCCCAGTCAATTGTGCGAGAAGGGGTTGGATTAATGTAGAGATGGATGTCATTTGTTGTGAAGCATGTGAAGCTCGCCTCTTATTTTCGACCCCATCCTCTTGGAGATTGCAGCAAGGTGTGATAACTGCTTTGTAACGTTTCTTGTTTATTCTTACAGTTATGGTCTATTGTCAAATTGCAGTAGTAAATGCATCATGGGTACAGTTTTGCATTCTTATTTTAGTTAACCAAAACAAATCTAATTTGAGGGAATCTTCCCCACTTCCTTCCATGAGCCACATGGCATGTAGGTTACTCAACTTAAAGATCAGTTATTGATTAAAATTTCGGAGTTCCATTGTGATGTCCAAGAGGAGAATTGGAATTAAGGGGTAATCGCGGGATTGGGGAGAATTGCTTGGTGGTGATGGTGGTTGGGCTTGGGTTAGGACATAATTTCCCCAAAAAGATTGATTGCACCAGACAATTTTTATGGCTTTAGCAATGGTGTTTGTGGCTATTTGATGCTGTTATCCTGCACACACTATAAATTTCTGTAGATTTCTCCAGTTCTCATAACTGAATGATTCATTAATTTATTTGCATGTAGTTGAAAAGGCTGCTGCAGTTTTCAGCTTAAAGTTGGATAATGGACATAAATTGTTATGCCCATGGATTGATAATGCTTGTGATGAAAAATTGGCATTATTTCCGCCAGCACCTCCTCCAGCTTTGGTTGATAGCTACAAAGAACGGTCAGCAGCACTTCTAAAGCTTACGGCTCTTCCTGTTATTTCATCCTCAGCCTTCAATTACATGAAAAGCGCCCAGCTAGAAAGCTTCTTATCACAGTCCTTGCTTCCATCTGTTACCTTTAACAATGGCATCAGGCTCACAGATAATCCTGGAGGCAAGGATTTTGTGGGTGCATCAAAAAATTCTACTGCTAGTGTATATTACCAGGTTTGGCACATCAGTGTTAATTGAAAGTTACTTGTTTGTTATAAAATATGCATTCTTACCTATATGCATAGAGTTTGCAGTATATATTTCATGATTATTTAAGGCAATAATATTTTCTTTATTGAGATAGATATTCTCTTGGCGATTGCATCAGTATCCATGACAAAGTGGCAGCCTGGTGATAGAACAAATCATTGACCATTAAGGAGGGAATATCTTATGTTTTCTATTTGAAACTGGCACGATCATGATTCATTTGTATGTGGCTAGTGCTAACGACGAGCAAGGTTTTAAATATCGGTTATCGGGGGTTTATCGGACGGTCAAAATCCTTATCGGATAGCGGAAATCGGGGATATATCGGGGATAAGTAGTAATTATCAGAGTGATATAGTGGATGGTGTATATATAATAATAACTAAAAAGTGTAATCTAACCATGCTTAATGAAATATAAACATTGTCCTGTCAACATTTAAGAGATAGTGAACCGTGAACACAAGTTTGAAAATAAAATAGCAAACACAATTGCACAATTGTATATTTATTTTATTTATTTATCACATCATAAAATTTTATGCCTAACATCAGTCAGTTCTATTTTGTTGCAGACTTGAGATCAAAATCACATCAAGATTTCAAGGAATGAAGGAACAGAGGAAGACAACTTAAAATAGCAATTGTAAACTACCTGCAGATTCAAGTTGTAAAACTAATCAATATTAGTCGCAGTGAAGAGTGAACATTGATTCGACGAAACTCAGAGATTATTGACCGAGTTATAAACTTATAATTAGCTAAAGTAGTTGCATTGAAAAATTAGTTGTAGTTAAAACTAATTGCTCAAATTTAATTGTAATTACAATTAAATTTGCTTATACACACAAGTATTTTCTTAAAATTAATTGCTTATATTGATTGAAATTAAGTCACAGTTAAAAAAACAGTTAACTGTAATACAAATTTCTTATATTAAAATTAAAATTAAATTTAACAAGTTTCTTATATTGCTTATATTGATTGAAATTAATTGCTTATATTAAAATTAAAATTAAATTTGCTTATATTGATTGAAAATTAGTTGCAGTTAAAAAAACTTATATTGAGATAAGCAAATGAATAAGTCACAGTAATACAGTCTCACAAGTCACAACAAGTCTCTATAAACTAGTTGCAGTAAAAAAAAATTAGTTACATTTAACTTTAACAAATTTCTTATACAAGTCTCACAACAGAAATTTCTTATACAAGTCTCACAACATAATAATCAGCAATACAAGTCACAAGTCACAGACTCACAGTCACAGCCACAGGTAATAATATCTGTTTAAAGAACAAGACCCAATAAACTTAAAGAAAAATAGAAAACATCAGCCAGAAAAAACAATAAAACCAAAAAAAACGAAGGAGAGGGGAAGAAATGAAGAAGAGATGATACCTGGAGATTCGACGGCGAGGTTCCTAGAGACACGAAGGCGAGACCGAGGTTCGTGGAGATTCACGAAGTCGAGGCGACGAAGAGTTCCACGAAGTCGAGGCGACGGCGAGGTTCGCTAGAGATTCGCTGGAGAACAGCCGCCAGAGACTTAGGGCTTGAAGGCGACGAGATTTAGGGTTTGAAGGCGACGAAGAGGCGAGGACGATGAGGCGACGAAGAGGCGAGGAAGATTTGCTGGAGAAAAAGGCGACGAAGAGGCGACGAAAATTTAGGGCTTGAGGTCTGGATTGTCGAACGGGGTTTGAGTTTTGCGTTTTATTGTGAAAACGGGTCGGGTTGGGTTTAAATTCTCAACAACCCTAACTCAAATCATCAGCCGATAAACCCGATAAAAAAATCAACATTATCGGGCGATATTATCCGTTATCGGCGATTTATCGCCGATAATTTGTCCAAAACGATAACCGACTGCAAAATCACGTTATCCTATCGGCAAGGTGAAAAATCCGATAAATCGCCGATAATTGCCGATAAATCGCCGATATTTAAAACACTGACGACGAGTAATTCTCTTCAAATTCTAGTTTAATAGTAGAGTGAAGGAGGAAAAGACAACTTATTAGATGGTTTCACTTGCCTAATTCTTCCTTTTCTATGCTGCTTCACCTCATCATTGCTGAACTGCCGTTTTCTACCTTTATGGGTATTATTATTAATTTTTACGATGCACATATTAACAGAGGTGGAGCTAAATAAATCACAGCGGGGTCAAGTGACCCCACTTTGCTACACCTCCACAATGTCCATATAATAATAATACACACTCACTTCATAGATCCACCACCACTTATAAAAAAAAACTCACTACTTAAACCTTATAATGAACCCATAAAATCTTAATCATCCCACTAATTATGTGGTCATTAGTTGAAAAAGCTGTATTTGATAATGTTATAATTATGTGAAAATGTACAATTTTCAAAATAAGAAAACTGGGTAAGGGCAATTGTATATTTTATAATTATTGTTATATAGAGACACAACTTCCCGGAAATCCTGGATCCACCACTGCGTATTAAACCTACTTTTTAATGCCTTTAAATTTTTATCTTGCATGAAATTTTTATCTTGCTATAAGAGCTAAGATACTATCATAAAACATTCTGACTTGATCATTAACTTGAATACATGCATGGTGTTAGGTATGGGACCTCTTGGAATACATGCGTGGTGTTGGGTATGGGACCTCTAGGCTCTAGGAATAGGTTTCTAGGGACAGTAATGATAACAGGTGAGGATTAACAACAACATGGCATGTCTTAATTTTTTTTTCTCAAGTGCAAATTGTCATGCAACTCAAGTTCCACTGAAGATTAAGTAAATTCTACATATTAGGTCATGTAGTTTTTGCAGTGTCATGTTCAAATTTTGCCCCAGTAAGAAGTCGTATTTAAAGATAAAATTCTGTATTCACAATTTTATTAAACTATCAGCTTCACCAATCCTTTTCAAAGGTTGCTAGTCTATATTTTGGACTTGAATGTGCATGAACATGAAACCGCGGCTATCTCTATTTTACATTGCAGTGTAACCTACTTGCTGATGAGCAGAACATGTCAAATAGGCATGCCATTTAAGATGCCCACTTAGTGAATGGTTGTAGGAAATGGTTGCATTTATGTTTTTTACTTTCAGAATTGTTCTTGACCAATGGAATCAGCCAGCAATTAACTTTTTTCGGTAAGTAGAACACATTATACAGACTATAATAATCCATTGGCAATAATCAGGATTGCAACTTATTTAGCTTCCACTATATGTAAACAAAACCCTACCAATTGCTAATTTTATCACTTAATGTAAATTATGTAATCAATGTGCATTATGTGCTTAGCTCCTTGTATGTTGTAGGTTTTATCCTCATATTGCCTGGCAACACAGTGATGAAAAATATGAATAGTTGATTATTTTGTCAAATTAGTATTTCATCTTTCTAAGAGCAGAGACCTCTGATTTGGTTATAGTCCTTTATATATTTCTTGTAATTGCACATATTGATAACAAGTACAATCATAAATGTCAAATAACTTTGCTGCTTATGCAACTGCATTCCATATTGGTGGATCACTTTGTATGTTCAATTAACCAATATCAATTATTTGCTTGTACTTAAAAGATGTGGCTTTCACGTAAAGTATATTGCTTGCATTTAAAAGATAATTAGAAAAAGATAATTCCTTATTGAGATTTATATCTTACTTGAGTTAAAATGATGTGCAATCATAACTATTGATTCCTTACTCTAGAACAACATACGGTCATTTACCTTCAGGTTAAGTTTATGCATTGTACTGTCCTTTCCGAAGCTCTGAAGATTTTATAAAATGCTAATTGTTCTACATTCTTTTGAAATTATTATTATTATTTGTACATTGTGTGCTTGATCTATCACCAGTTCACTAAAGCTACAGCAAAGTTACTTTATGTTATTGGCCTTTTCTAATTCCTAACTTTATAATTCTACATGTAGGCACAGAAGATAATTAGTTTATGTGGATGGGAAGCTTGTTTGCTTCCTTATGCTGTTGATAGTGAAGACTGTCCATCTGAATCTTTAGGAGAGATACTTGGTGAAAAGAGAACTAGTACCATAGTTTACACAGGTGAATCTGGTGAGGTTGGAGGGAACAGTAGCCACCCTTCTCTTGGTGAAGATCAATATGATCCAGGATCAGTTGTTTTAGACTGCAAGTTTTGTGGAGCCCGTGTAGGATTGTGGGCCTTTGAAACTGTACAACGCCCTCTGGAATATTTCACTTTAATTGCAGATGGTGACCAAAATGAGTCGGCCACAAGATGCACAAATCTGCTTAAAAGTCTTGATGCTTCAAAGGCTGAGAGCTGGAGGAAGGATCATCAAGATATTGGTTCAACTTCTAAAGAGAGACCATTGGGCTTAAACTTGACGATTGCAGGTGGCCCTCCACCAACTAAACAAAATTTTAGACCTATTGTTTCTTTTCCCATTGTCAGCCGGCATTTGAGGGTTGAGATTGCTTCTGTATCTCGTATCAAAGATTATTCGTCGTCTCCACTTTCTTGTGAGAATCATGAGAACACTCAGTTCCATTTGCAGAATGATGTTTCATCTCAACAGCAGAAGGATCTTAATGGTGATGTGGATGCTAGATTGTTGAAGCGTAAAAGAAACGGAAAAGAAGTTGATGGTTCTGAAAATGATCATGTTAGTGATCCATCTCATTCAAAGGAGGAACTTCAGGTCTTGGGAAATGGATTTGGAACTGGAGAAAAGCATAGTGGCGTTGCTTTTGAAAGTAAGAGAGATAATACTCAGGAAGTTCACTCATTGCATGGAGGTACAGATGGCAATGTAAATTCTGAAGAAGTCACACATTATACAGATGAAGAGACACACAGAAGTAATATAAACTCTGAAGGCACTGGGAGAAATATTGTGCAATTGGAAACAGAGGTTACCAATAGTGTTGAAGACAGGAGAAGTATTTGTACAGCTTCCAATGCAAATCTTGTCCTCAGAAATTATGATGCATCTGAAAACAACTCACTTGTAGACTTAGGAGATACCCACAATTCAGATGATGGTACCATACTAACTAGGGCTAGGACTTCTGAAAATGATCATGGTGATCCCTTGGATATTGCATCTTGTTCAGCTATCAATGCAACTTTGCCAACTAGCAAAAGTCTGGATACAGAAATAGGTAATGGAAGTTCCAGCTTTAAGAACCATCAGATGATGAAGGCCCGTGAAGGAAACATCAGTGGATGGGAGGGTATGCTAGCACCTGCTAAGATGGATGCAAAAGATGATCCAGGTTTGGGTAAGTTCTATTTTCTTTCTTTCTTTTTTTTTAAAACAAGGTTTTATCTTTCTTGCATCCATTATATTTTACGAGCTGGCTGTACAAGCTGGCTGTACAACACTTTGGTCGTCTTGTGTTCCAATATAGCATTTAGGTACTCTACTTGATGTCTATAATTTAGCTTGAAGATTTGGATAGGGGATAGGAATCTACTACACTCACAGAGAAAACAAGGAAATGGAATAAATTAAAATTGCCAAGCTAGATAATAAAATAAATAGCAATTGTCATTCATCAACTCCTACTCTAAAGTTCCAGAACTCTTATTCAGAACTAAAATTGCAACGACCAAGTAACCAATAATCTCAAATCAAATCTCAATCATCTAACTACATCATAAGATAATAAACAGACAAATCTAAAATTATTCTACGAGACTACGACCATCATCTTGAAACAAATCTCAACTAAAAGTAAATTATCCTTACAATCCTGATTTAGAAACAGCTACTTTAACAAACATGAATAACTGAGATTAGTTCAATTTCCAGGCTGAGTTATTTAACCTAAGTTCAATAAAGTAAGCCGATCTTTTAATGATGGTTAGCTGGCTTCAATATGTCCTCCATAACCAGCATATCAGTGCGATTTATCTCATCTACCATCAAAATTCTCCTGCTCAGGATGATGTCTTCATCGTTAAGGATGGAACTTAAATTCTTTCTGAACAAACAACAATATGCATGAGTTTTTTTTTGTTGGTTGGGTTTTTTTTTCGGGGGGGGCGGTGAGGCATCGCTAAGGCTATTTGGGGCTATTGAGGCAAAATAGCGGTAAAAAGCGCAAAATCAAATAGCGGTCTAATTTAGATATGTGTAAATACTAAAAAAAGATTAAAGATAAATCTAGAAAAACTAAAAGTGCATATTTGATGATTTAAAGAGATCCTAAACATGAAATAGATATGTAATCGTTACATAATACTAAAGACGATGGGAGGAGAAGTTAAAGGGTCATCGTCTTCGAGAAGATGAGCTGAGTGATGAGAGGACTGTCCTAGGAGCAAGGTTTTAAATGTCGGATGTCGGGTTCATGTCGGATGGCTGAAATCCATGTTGGATAGCGAAAATCAGGGATATATCGGGGGACATTGACTAAATATCGGATTGTCATATCGGGTAGTGCGTATATGTATAATATCATGTCCTAAATGTAATCTAAGCATTCATAAATTCAATATAAGCATACTTTATAAATTCTATAGACTAAACATATAAAAAAGTAAATAATATATGGATTTGGGTTCATAAATTCTTTCTATCGGGTTCATAAGAAACCCTTAAATATGAGAACGGATCAAACGGGTTTGGGTATTTATCACTAAACCCAAACCCGATAATAAAAAGTAGATCTTAAAAAAAGTACCATATCGGTGGATTTTCAAAGCTAAAAAATAAGCCGATATGCCCGATATGACCCTGATATTTTCGATTTGGCCCTGAAAACCGACATACGAGTTGAAGACGTTCATGTCGTGTCGGTCAAGCCCTCAAACCGATATGTTGGCCGACATATCGGACATGTCGGCCGACATTTAAAACCTTGCCTAGGAGGAGCTCACGGTGAAGGAGGTGAGAGCAAATGCTGAGTTTGGTGCCAGAGGCTATGAGAGGCGGCGGGAGCACACTAAAAATCGCGGGAGGCGATCGAATGCAATGATTAAAGGTTGGATTTAATTTTAAAAAAATAAACCCCAAACTGCTTTTAAATAGCAGTCAAAAAGCGAATTTTGCACGCAATCGCCCGCTATTTATCGTTAGGACGCGCTATTGGCCGCTTTTGTGAACGGAAAGCTCATATTCCGTAGTATGTCACTGCAATTGGGCGATAGCGTAGCGGGAAGGGAACGCTAACGCTATTAGCGTCGCTATTGCGGGGCTATTTACCGCTATTTATAACAGTGGTTGAGAGAAATTCACTCTCTGACTGTCACTCTTTGTGATAATCTTGCTATAAAAAACAATGAAAGGATATTCTTAATTCATTATGAACATGTGGTGGAAGGAAAAATGGAGTTTCTCTTCTTAATTCATTATTCAATCTTATCAAGGTGAGAGGTGAGGTGATGGTCCGTAGAGACAATAATTTCCCAGATCAGATAGAGGGAGGGAGGGAAAAGTATTACTTAATTAAATGTCTAATTTGTGGCATTAGCTGATATTATTTTTTTATAATAAATCTTGATTTCTCGATGTGTAAGGCCTTCATAAATACTTGGGAGTGAGGGAGGGATGGAGGAGTAACTGTAATGTTTAATTTGTAGTAATAACTGATGTTACTTTCTCATAGTTCAAAAATATTGAGGTATAATTGTTGAGGTTAAGGATTTCATAATTACTTGAACACAGTAAGCGTCTGAGGTCTAATGACTTCATACTTCAACCAAATGTTTTACTTCTCACCCACCCACCCCCACCCAAAAAAAAAGAAAAGAAAAACACACACACACAAAGTAGGTTGTCAGTGTTAATGTCAATGCATAAACTATACTTTAAGTATCACATATGGTGCATTTAGTTTCATTGATGTCCAGGTGGTCTTATAAACTATATAACGTACATTCATTGGATATCCGGAAATACTAATTACATGCTTGGTCTTATATTTCAATGCATATGGCATAAAATTTGCACGGTAAGACCTCTCAATTTAAATGTATCGTTGCATTTAATGTATTTGTCATGTAGTGCATTTAATTGCTATATTAACGGTCTAGATTGAATTTCTAGGACTGTTGGGCTATACGCAGTATTTTCCTTGCTTTTACTCTCTGGAAAAGTGTATTCCATGTAGTTAGTGGAGGCTCAGGTTGAATATTTTAACTGCTTATTTCTTCATTATAATAACTGTCATTCTCAGCAAGGCTTTTTCCATCATAGCAGAGTCTGGTATGGAGGGGGTTAAGAGCATGAGTAAGTACTCAAGGACGCTTCTCAAGTTGTCTTAACTATCAGTGGATTCAAATTTTATTCTTGTTCCTATTTTAACTAACATCGCTTGGTAGATAGTATGGTGTTAGTTTGTCCATGGGTGAATGGATTAGGGAAAATGAGGAATTACAAGGACTTATATACTTTCCACATCGTCTCAGAATTTCACTCCATTTCTCTCCATGCATACTGAAAAGAGATGGCATGAAATAGGGGTTGGGCAATTATGCTAGTGCCAACTAAAATGGAAAATTACTACTGAAATGAGCCATTGAACTAAACGCAATCGAACTATGAACTTACGTATGCAAACCTGGAATTTCGGGTGGGTTTATGCAGGTGTATAATCTGCAAGTCAGATTAGGGATGCTTTATGGTGCAGGTTACAAGTACTGTATGATGTGGGTCTTGGTGTTTGCTCACGCACAAAATGGGATATGGGAAAAAAGGGAGTGGAAATTGTACATGTTTAGGGTGGAAATGAAGCAGAAAAGCGTATTCAAGAAGACAAATAAACCTTAGAAAAACAGCCTAACTAGTAAAATCATATTTATAATGGTTTAATTCAAAAAATTTCATAAAAATGATAAACATGGATGTTAGGTGGTTACCTAATTTATTATGCATGTCAACCAAGAATTGTTATCTAATATCTACGAGTGGTAGATGTCTTCTGTATATATGTTTGGTTCTCTTAGATTGTTTAATGGGTAAATAGGCTTATTATACAATAATTAATTACCGAATCATGACTTAACATTAAAAAAAAATAAAAGTAAAAAGAAAGTTACAGTAGTGGATTGGCTTACCATTTTCAGCCCATATGGTAAAGCTAAAGAACCTTACTGCCACTTCCAGCAGCTTCTGTAAGCCTTCTCATCTTCGGTGGATTCGGAGATGATGAAGAAATAGATAAATCAATTTCTAAGCTTCAGTTCTAAAGCCATTATATGATTTGTGCCTCTTTTTTTCAATTCTGATAATCATTTTTACATGCAATTGGTAATGCTCAGCTGTGGCCATTATTATTTTTCAACAATAAAGATAAAATCGGAAAAGGAGCTACTGTTCAGCCTGTGATTTAACCCAGTCATGCACTGAGTGATTCATAGTGTCACAATGATGCAGACAACTTTTGCGATATTAGGTTGCTGTTCTTATTATCTGAACTTCATTGAACATCAAACGTATTGATGTATGCCCATATGAGTCAACTTTTTTTAACTGTCTGTAAGGTTGTACCCGGGTTTTTAGCCACAATATTGCTGCAATACGGTGATAGCCATACCAAATTCATATTTATACTTTCATCTCATATTTCATGTCTCATTTATACTTCCATCTCATGATTTTTGCTTCATGTTTAGGATCTTCTGGTTGAAAGTTTTTGTTCCTCATAATGAATAATTGGGTACTGTTTGGTAACTGTAGGGAACAATCAGGTGCAGAGGTGGCATGGTAAGATTCGCGAATTTGATCCAATCAGGCAACACAGACCTTTTTGCCCATGGATTGCTCCAGAGGATGGTGAAAGCTTGCCTGGATGGAGACTGACACTCAATGCTTTAGTTCAACAGCAGAAAGATTCTTCTTCAGATCAACAACAATTGGATTCTTACTCAACTTCAATCGATGAGGTAAGTTTGTTTCCTCTTCTTTGTTCCCTTTTTTCTGGGTTAATTGCGGATAGACGCCCTGTCCTATTGAACAATTGCGGATAGGCCTCCTGTAGTTCTATTGTTAAGGATACACCCCCTGTACTATTGCCCAATTGCTGATAAACCCTCTGATTTTTTTTATTTTTATTTTTTACACCCCGGAGTTCTACTTATCAAAAAAATAATCTTCTCTTTCTTTAAGGGTAAAAGAGTCAAGAAAGTTCACTTTGGGGTTCTATCCATCTCTAACAATAGTTCACTTTGGGGTTCTATCCATCTCAAACAATAGAGCTACAAGGGGGTATATCCACAAATTAACCCATTTTAATTTGTCTCATGGCTTCTCGTATCGACCTCTGCTTGAGGTTGTGCTAATTTGGTGCTTCTTATTTATTCATTCTTCAGGGAGATGATCCCATTGTTTCTATAAGAAAGCTGTTCATGTCCCCACCCGCCAAAAGATTGAAGGGGTCACGCTGATTAGCCATCGGCATTCAAAGGAGATCTGTGCACTGTAGACTATTCAAAGCAGTGTGAAATCTGATGTCAGTAAACAGATCAATGGTCTCTCTGAGCCTAATATGTATGTAGTTGGCTGAAGGTCCTCTTGCTTGCATCAATCGGAATATTATTTGGCACCCAACCTTGTAAAAGTAATCTGGGTGAATGATATGCATGAAATTTTGATCCCTTTGTTTCATTCTTGACATGGAAATGAGCCTTTTTTTTCCCCCTGAGTAGAGTACCCAAACCCTTTGTTATTCTGTAGTTGCGTAATAGGTTTTGTGCTTTGGGTATAAAATACTTTTCAGAGTGAAGCATGGCGAGGCATTCATAATATGGTAATAGCTCCTCAATCTGGGGTTACTAAGTTTTTGAAGTTGTACAGCTAAATGTTTTTCTTTGATAAATTTTATCACTTTTATTTATTCTCACGAGTTCTCAATCTTGAATTTCTGGAAAATTTTCTCGCTCTTCTTTAAGGGGGTGTTTGGTTGGGTGTTTTTATAGAAAACATTTCTCAAAAACTGTCAGAGTGGCAATTTTGTAAATAAAAATTTTCTGTGTATTTCTATAAAACGTGTTTGGCTCCCAAAAACTTTACAGAAAAGTTTTCTTAAAACTGTCAAAAACACCCTCATTTTATAGAAATGTATTTCCTCTCAAAATGAGAGGAAATTGCCATGAAATCTGACACTTCCTTTATTAAACTCATTTCTTCGCTTCCCGTACCTATTTCCCCACTCGCTGGACATTTCTCGAGCTTGTTCGTCGGCGGAAAATTTCGCCCTGGTTCCCGCCCCAAATCCAGCGAGTTGCTGGTCCTTCGCGCCATTTCCAGTTACCTCTCGATTTCCCCTCTCCGATCGCCTCAGATCTAGGGTTTTCGGTTCCCAGATCTTGCGCTAGGGTTTTCGATTTCTGATCTCAAGGCTCCCACGGTAAAAATCTTTTCTTTGTACTCCAATTTTTTTTTTGATCTATTTGGCGTTGGTCTGTTGACGAAAATTATCTGTTAGGGTTTCTGTACATTTATTTTCGTAATTACTGATCTCCATACTCAATACTTGTTGGGATTTTCCTACAATTTGATTTTGGGGATGTTGATGAATTTGATTTTGGGTCATAAAACCAAGAACATATACTCGTTGGTCATAAAACCAAAAACTGATCTCCATACTCAATACTCGTTGGTTTGTCATCTGTTATGTATTTTGTCATCTGCGTTGGCAACAACTAGTTAACTGCTTTGCATGACAAAAATTAAATCTAAACTTTGCTGTTTTACATTCAGTAGGATTTTCTTTGATAGAAATTACCCTCTATTACATTTCTGTAATCTTTAGTTGTGAATGATGACAAGATCGGGCCTTGATATAGCACTTAAGCAATAGCACTTTAGTTGTGAATTTGACAGGGTCTTGTAATATCACAGAGATTGGGGTTTTTATGGGTATGTAAATAAGAAGCGATAGTAGGGATAAATGAATAAACATGAAATGTAATGAAAAGAACTGCAGTGGCATGCATGTATACTTGCTTTATGATTGTAAGATTGAAGATATCTTTTGAGGGTTTCCCCTCTTTACCATGTTCACATCTCAAACAAAAAAATTTGCTAATTTTCAATCTGTCAATGTAGGACGTTTGTATCATGTCAATAATGATTATAGTTCAAAATGTTGGGTGTATAAAAGAGATTTGTTGATAAGTTAGTTGCGCAATTTTTCTTTCGTTGTTTATTGTTGCATAAACATCTTAAACTATTTTTGCTTTGTAACGAATGTAGATGGATGGTGTAGATGAAGAACAAATAAAGAGGATGTGTGCTAATACCACTATATCTACCGTGGTTACAATAATAGCTTGTTTATTGAGAATTCGTGCTAGGCGCAAATCCATTTGTTATGCCCCAAGAGAGGATAAGATGAGGAGAATTTATTGTAGAAATGCTCACTTCAAGCGCGTCTTTGAAGGATATAGTGATAGTTGTAGGTCTTATATTAGAATGAGGCCTAAAGCTTTTTTCAAACTTGCGGATGTAATGCGCAATCATGGTTTTCTAAATGACACAAAACACCTTCAAGTTGAAGAACAACTCGCTATGTTTCTTTGCATAGTGGGTCATAAAACCAAAAAAATAAACTGTTCTCATATGTCCTAGCTGGGTGGGAAGGTGCGGCGAATGACTATAGGATATTGCAAGACGCATTGTGTAGACCACAACCATACGGATTGAGAGTATATGATGGTATTCTTCCACCTCCTTTAATAAATAGTCAGCTAAATAATAGGGTCCAATTGATCACAAATTTTTTTTGGAAGTGTAGGCAAATATTATCTTTGTGATGCTGGATACACTACCATGCCTGGCTTCATCTCTCCGTACCGTGGTGTACGTTATCACTTAAAGGAACACATTGGTAGGACACCCAGAAATAGCAGGGAGTTGTTCAATTTAAGACACTCTTCTTTACGGTCCAAAATTGAATCAACCTTTGGCACATTGAAGAATCGGTTCAAAATTCTGACGGCGAAGCCTAATTATCCATTCCCCACACAAGTGGACATCGTCTTAGCATGTACTATATTACATAATTTCATTGCAATTGAAGATCCACAAGATGACATCTTGAATGAGAATGTACTAATTGATGAGGAGAATGATGACATGACAAACGAAGATGGTACAAATGTAGTTGACTTCACTCAATCTAGGACACAAAGAGAGGAGCGTGATGCAAGAAATGAATGGAAGGAACTTAGGGATCAAATTGCATGGGCAATGTGGGTTGATTATTGCGCAAAATATAAAGAAGGCGACACCACAGAAATTGGCTTGTAGTTGCGTTGTTTTCGCATATTTCAGACTATATTGAATTATGTAGTTTCTCAACTTTAATTTTGTGCTTGTATGAACAATGTAGTTTCTCAACTATAATTTTGTAATTTATTATTTCATGATTGTACTCATATTGTACTTATGTAATTCTAAATTTCTGGTTTGTTTTTATCATGGCACGTAGGTATGTCTAACAAAGAGGGAGGAAAAGATAATTTGCCTAAATCACCACATGCTCTACTAATTGATGACGACGGTATTAATGTGAATCTTGTTCCATATCTAAATCAACCGTTCAATCCGCCTCATGCAATGCCTCCTTTCCCACAGTTTCCTCTATTCGATGGGAACTACTGTGGCTCTAGCCAACATGTTTCATTCACTAATATGTTGAACAGTTCCCAAAGCTTGCACATTCCCTCTTTGAGTTCTCAAAGCGGCGGTCCACAACAAATGTCACCCTCCATCGGTGAATCTGGTGGACATGAAAGTAATGTCATTTGTTTGAGCCAGGAGGTTTCACCCTCCAAAAGAATCAAAAAAACTGCTCACAAAAGAGCACGGGCTGCAACACGTGGGGCTCCTAGCATCAACTCGAAGGGGGTTTCCAACATGTGGTGGCTTCCTGAGCATGATGCGGAGCTTATACCGTGTCTTGCGGAGCTCGCGGATTCCGGAATGAAAGTTGATAAAAACTTCAAAGCTGAGGCTTACAAAATAGCAGCTATGAAAATGAACATGAAATTCAAAACCAACTACACCCACGTTCATGTGATTAATCGCATGAAGACTTGGAGAAACAAATTTAATGATATGAAGACTTGCATCAACATAAGTGGTGCGGGGTGGGATGAGGAAAATTGTATGGTAATCCTAGATGAGGAGACACTTAATCAATGGGCTCAGGTATTGATTTAAGTCATTACTACATATTTAATTTATTTGGACGTGAGAAGGCTATAATTAATTTCTCACAATATTTTTCACATATGGCAGGACAAAAAGAACTCAAAGCTAAGAGGATATATAAACAAGCCTCTTCCATTCTACAAACATTTACAGAAGATCATGGGTGATGATCAAGCTAGGGGTGATTTTGTTAGGCCAGTTTATGATAAAATTGGTACTAACAACGCCATTCCTCTTGATGATGATGATGCGGACATTCCTCTTGAGAGTGAAACCGAGCCTCAATCCGATGCTAACACTACCCCACACTCCACTTCTAGGAAATCCCAACATGAGTCTACCACAAAGCCATCTTCAAGCAAGCGACCTCGCAAATCCAATGACGATGAGTTAATACGTAGCTTTGTTGAGACTATGTCGGAGTCAATTAGAAATCAACACATTATACATTGGACTGAACAATTAGCTGCAGCTTTGAAGAACCATAGTGACTCCTACAGTGACGAATTCCTTGATAAGGTTTTAGATCATTTGTATGAAAGTGAGCACGAGGCTAGGAGGTTTTTTATAAAAACCAAGGAAGCACAGAAGAGGTTTCTTGCAAGTCTTGCGTCGGCTCAAGGTTGGGACACATGATAGTGTTTTATTGTTCTGTGCACACAACAATCCATTTTGCTACTTCACATATTTTGTTACTATTCCCGCACAACTCCTATATTTTGTACATTGCAAACTTTAGATGTTGCAATTCATAACTTATATTTTGATAATTGCAAACTTTACATGTTGCAATTCATAACTAACATTTTGTTAATTGCAAACTTTAGATGTTGCGATTCATTACTTATATTTCGGGAATCAACATCCATAGTGTCTTAAAGATGAATATTCGCCCATAGCTCTCTACCAAGCAACTATTCGACTATATGTTTCGATCATCGACCCGAAAGCTATTTGATTGTAGCTTTCGTTGTAGGAGCTAGACGGGAATCAACATCCATAGTGTCTTAAAGATGAATATTCGCCCATAGCTCTCTATCAAGCAACTCACCAACTGAGTCCAACTTTTTATTTCTGAAATCGTCCCACTGCTCATCAGCATCTCTAATAGTTGCTATGATATTAGCCATGCTGTTGTCACAGCCATCAAGATCAATCATCTCAGAAGTGAGGTCGCGTTTGTGGCAATTGTGGAGTTGTGGATGCAGTGATTGGGAAGTCGTCTGATTGTGACCTCCGTTGTCGGAGCTTGTTTGAATAAGCTATCTATTGTGATTTTTAGACAGCCTACACTCCAAGCCGCCAACGAATGAATGGGTCTGTGTCAAACGGAATCGTTCAACACTTGATGAGCGCATTCGCAAGCGTCGCGCACAGTCAGCGCAAGCACGGGCTCAAGTCCAAGAAGCCCACAGAAGACTGCAGAAGGAAGTGGCCAAAAAGCCGCCAATCCGCCAAGTCTGGAGGCCGAAGTCCGAAGCGGCAATTCAGGCTAAAGAGCAACTTTTGCAGCCTTCAGTAAAAGTTCAACCTCCAGCGAACCACTCTAAATCGCCGATAATTCCCATGGCTACTCCGGGAGATCACGCAGAATCATCCCGAAGAAAGAAGTCAGTTTTTGAGCGCCTCGGTCCACTTCCCGATGGACGATGCAAAGCTTCAGTTCAAGAACGTTTGGGCCTGATAAAGAAGCCCCGAACGACTCAACATGCTGGGAGTCGCCGCCACGAGGTCCAGGAGCCCGCTGAGAACTCACGCCCACAAAGGCATGTTTCGAGGCGTGTGACTCTTGAAAGCCCAAAGAAGGAAGTTCGCCCTCAGAATGAAACAATGTCGTCTGATGACGATAGCATTATACCTAAGAAGTCGTGCCAACACACGATAGGTTACTCCGACCTTCAAGCAGACGAGTTGTACTATCGTATTGGGGGTACGAGTAAAACCAGAAAAAGGAGTCCTCAAGAACTAAAGACTCAATGCCCCTGTTCCAAACTCATTCGGGCGGTATTGTCGGAGTGCAACTGCACCAATACAGTCCCCGAGAGAATTTCAGTTTTCGAAAGACTCAGTGCTGAAACGCCAAAACCAAGGCATAGGCGTTTCCGACGAAGAAGAACGATGGTTGAAGATGGAGAATTTTCGAGGGTCACCACTAATATGACTAGCAAAGGGACATCGACAAGGGATAATCCCAAGTTGATTCCGGAATCATCCCGGCGTATAACACGTCTACAGTCTGGAGCCATCATACGAGCAACTTATGGTAGGATTCGGACAAGGTTACCATCAGAAGATGAAGAATCGGATGCCGGCTCTGCGGTCGCATCAGATAATACGGTATCCAGCGAGGGACAACCCCGCGAGGCACTTATGATAAGTGAAGAACAAGTGGCCAAGATGCTTGAGGAAACCATGGCTAAACAACAAGAGAGCTTCAAGTTCGAAATGCAGATGGCCATGCAGAATATGAGAGAAATGCATGACCAACAAATCCAAGCACTGATGAACCAGCAAGGCGAACCAAGTCGTCGCAACCAGGTTAATCAGGAAGATGAGGACACAAATACGAATGAAGCTCATAATACCAATAATCCTCCCGTCAATGTAGGGGTGGTAACGAGAATGCTAGCGAAAACACAGGTGAAAGTTTGAAGATTAAAAACCTCGAGAGCAAAATCAATACGTTGATTTCCGCTCAAGAGATGAAGAAGACGGGCATTCCTTGTCCATGCCCAAGAGAATGGGAATCAATCCCGTATCCGGCGAAGATCAATCTAATCAACTTCACACCGTTTAATGGGATGGGTTCACCCACTCAGCATTTGATTTACTTGAAATCACACCTAGGGGTTATCTCTGGTAATGAGCCTCTGATGGTACGGTCCTTCGTTGGCACTGTTCGTGGAGCCGCCTTCGATTGGTATCGCCGTCTCAAGCCAGGAAGAGTGAATAGCTGGGATGACATGGAGACTAAATTCCTCACTAACTTCTTCGACGATGACACCGAGATATCCATCCGGTCGTTGCTTGACAAGAAACAAAAAGACGGGGAATTAGTTGATACCTTCGTCAAGAGGTTCCGGAACAAGGCGATGAACTGTCGGGACCCGATCACTGAGGAGTTCATTCTCCAGACTTGCCACAACAACCTCGCATTGGACGTGTTGGAAGCGATGGGAATAGCACCGTCCAAAACATAGAAGGATTTGAAGGTCCGAGGAGAGCAAGCCGAGCGATTCCTCAGAAGGAAGAAGGCGGAAAGAGGTCCACAGGCGACGAATGCTCCGCAACAGAATTTCGTCCCACGAGGGAAAGGTAAGGAACATGCTAATGCAGTTAATGCTAATCAAACTTTCCAATTGCAACCTCAGCAACAGCAGCAGCAACGAGCACCACAACAGTCGCAGTCGCAATGGCAACAACGGCCTCAGAAGCAGAAATCTTCAGAGCCAAGATTTCCTAAAGTGTACTCTTTCAAAGATGACGAAGTTCCTGGCATCTTTAAGTACCTATTGGAAAATAATAAAATCCAGCTGCCGGCAATCGTGGATCAAGAAGGGGCTAGCAAAGTGACGGATCCGAAGTATTGCGCATACCATAGAGCGGTCCATCACCCTACCAAGTCATGCTACCATCTCAAGGATAAGATCCAGGCGTTAATTGATGTAGGCGTCCTCCTCCACTTGTGAAAACTAAAACAGCTTTAAACTAAACCCTTAAACAAGCTTAAACAAGCTTAAACTTTTTTTAAAACCCTTGTTTAAAAACTTCTTTAAAATATTCTTAGCTAATTTAGAAGAGATCAGCAATGGGGTATTTATACTCTCTCACAACTCAGCCAAAAACCCCAAGCAAAAAGACAAAACAGCCCCAAGGCAACGGTAAAAAAACTACGACTTCCTCGACCAAAAAGGGTAAAGGCAAGTCCTGCAATGCTACCTCCGCGATCTTCGAAGAGGATGGGAATGAAGCTCCTACCTTCCCGCTCTCTGAAGAAGAACAAGAAGTCTTTGCCACTAGAAGCGGGAATGAGTACCACTTCAACTATCCATCACCTAGTGATCAGTTAGCTGAGCAGGGGGTGACTAAGCAAG